AAAACATTTTCTTTACTATCACTGTAAAAAAACTGCTTCCATACCGGATTTCCATTTTCAAAGGATAGATTTCGATTTACACATAAAAGTTTGACATTTGGCATAATACAAACATATTCCCAAGTAAGATAATAATAATTAATTGTCGTAAAAAAAGTATAGTATGCAACTCTTTTATAAACTTTTCTAGACACCAATTTAATTAAGGACTAGTTCGCAAGCTCGCTCGTGCCTAAATTAAATTCGTATCTAAAATAGCGTTTATCAAACTGCAGTATCCATGGATACATAATAAACTATGGAATTTAATAATAACCAACTCTAATATTTAATAAGAATAGTATATTATGTAACAAGTTTGGAATACGGCATATTCCCCTCGAGTGAAAAGTTTGTCACACGAGCCGAAGGCGAGTTTGACGGTTTTACGAGAGGGGGATATGCAATTCCAAACGTGTTTCAGACTATACTTTTTCTACGTTTCCAAAAAATAACATAGACAAATAATTAAATTGGAAGAAAGTGAGGTTGGATGGGTCTAAAATTTGTTAGATATTAAAAACAGAGATGTCTCCACGAGTGTATATTCTGTCATCAGATGATGGAATATTTCATTCTGCAACACTTTACGGAATAAATGTCATTCCATAGATAAAAGTGATATTAGAACGGTCATATTCCATAATAGGAGTAGAAAAATAAGTTTTCAGCATCGTTTATTACTTGGAGAAATTCTTAACAAAAATATAGGACAAAGATTTTTTCGTAACACTCTTGAATAGAAGTGGGTAAAAGCACAATAGTGTTTACTTCTTATCCCATATTCAACAAACACGTAATCATTTTTAGTACATTACGTCTTCCGACAACAATACCCAACTTTCGTTCTACTTCCTAGTTTTATTTTTATGCCTTTTTTTTGTATACAAGGGATTGATTTCAGAAATTTTACGATCCTACTTATACCTACTAAAATATCAAACAAAATGAATTTTTGTGCTACCAAATTAGTAGTTAATGTAATGGAATGAGATTTTACTACATAAAAACGTTACGAAATTAAAGAAATTAAAAACAATATCAAAGGAGAAAAAAGTGCACCTTAATGTTTTGGCTTTTAATTTATTTTTTCTACTCCCACCTTTAACATGTTTCCATGACACTAAGTGACCTTTTAAATACACATTGACAAGTTGTGGCTTTATGGCGATTTAGTCACGGGCTGAAGTAAGCAACAGGTTATTAGTCACAGTCAGAAGTTTTAAGTTAGTTGACAGTTGTCAAATGATATACAATCGTTAAAATAATATGAAAATTATTTTATTATCTATAAAAATAAAAAGTATAAAATAGTTTTTCAAGGCCAATACCTCCGAGGTGTGTTCAGAAAATATCGGGTTTTTTGAAACAAATATTTATTTATTCGTCTACATTAATGTTGTCGCCTTCAAAATGGTCCCCATAGGATATTATGCACATGTGCAAGCTCTTCTTCAATACTCGAAACACTTCTAAAACTCGATCTTTGGTATAGCCTTTAGTTCTTTCAGCGATGCGCTTTTAATGTCATCTATGCTTGCAAAACGACGGCCCTTTAAGGTTCTCTTTATTTTTGGGAATAGGAAAAAGTCAGACAGAGGCATATCTGGAGAATATGGAGGCTAGGGCAGTATTGTTTTTGGCCAAAAATTTTGTTCAAAATTTAACAATTTTAGAACAAATGTTGCTGCCATGCGTTTCATACCGAATACATTCGAAAAAATTTCATGGAATGAGCCAATCGATATAGCAACATCATCAGCGACTTCAATGATGGTTTATAACCATTTCTTCCAATTTTTCGGTTGTTAATGTGCTTGGGCGTTCGGGGCGTTCGTCATCTTCAACGTCTTCACGGCCATCTTGGAAACTCTTATACCACCTTTAAACTCTTGTTTTACTTATAGCAGACTCACTATAGGCCTTTGTTAACATTTCACAGAATTGATTTCATTTTTTAAGCAAAATTGGATACAAATTCTTTGATCCATTTCTTTTAACTAACGAAAAATCGCCGAGTTTATAAAACACGTCTAACCTTAGCGGCTGCCACAGACAAAGTAAACAATGAAATCAGCTAAAGTTTTTATCATAATTCGGGGCATGTATACCAACATAATAAAGAAAATTTTATGACAAACGGACCCTCTGAACCCGCGAAATTTAACAATTCCCGTTATTTTCTGAACACACCTCGTAAGTATGCAACTCATTTAAAAACTTTTCTAGACACTGATTTAATTAAGAACTCGCTTGCAAGCTGGCTCGTAACTAAATTAAATTCGTGACTAAAATAGCGTTTATCAAACTTGATCAATAAAATAATATTACATATAACACATCAACCACTATACACTGTTAAATTAATATCAGTTGTTTTGTGTCAGTTATAAAATGTTTATCATCTCTTGTTAAAGTGGGTTATAAATGGTGCAATATTATTTCACCGGATGACAGTTTCTTATTTCGACCGAAAATTAATCGTTAACAATTTCGAGTGCATTTATCAAGCGTGCTCCACGGTTTACGCAAATTACTTATTTGATAACGCTGCCTCCATAAAATTGTAATTTATTAATCGTTTACTTATGCGAGGGGAATTTGAGGTGTACCTCTATAGAATGCACAGTGTGCCGTTTTACAACCGTGGATATAAATTGAAATTTTTAGTTTTTAAACAAGACATTAAATACTACTTAGATATTGACTTAAAAAAATTAAGTTTTTTTTAAATTGGCGTGTCACATTTTTAAAAAATACAAATTGGGTCATGTGACATTATTTGATAGGTCTTTTTCTAAATCTAGACTTAAAATATGCCCCACTGTGAAAGCCAATAATTTAATGCCATCATTACCCACATCTTGCGGTCTCGGTTTTGGGGAAATGGGGGATAACCTTCCATTATTAAAGTTAATTTAATATGTTTGAAAATTTGACATTGATTTAATGCGCATTAATTAATTATTAGCAAGTTGTGCGGAGTTTCTGAAACTGGGTTTAGATATCAGCATTAAATGTATCTTTATTCATAAGTTGCGGATTAAATCAAAACAACTTCATAATTATTCAGGTAATTAACGGCTTTATTCAGGATATACAGTGACGGGTAAAAGTATGGAACAAATTCATTAAAAAATGTGCGTTTTTCCCAAAAATTTCTTGAACACGTCGATTTTGCTTTTTAATTTTAATATTTATCTATTTAATATTTGCCGACATTTTTGTAGAAACTATGACGTCATCGGTCGTTTTTTTAATATGTACTTTTTTTGCAGGAAAGAAAGGAAATTGGTCTTGAGACAATAGAGCTCTTACCGGCCAGACAAACTGTTCAAAATTTCATGACCATTTAACACCAAATTACATGGTCTATACAAACATAAAAACAAACCAAAATGGTGTTAAATATGGTTCATTGGTCCAGTGTAAATTCCAATACTAAAATAGTGTAAATTTAACTTTCACACAGTATTAAAATAAATTTTACCTGGTGTAAAATTGAACTCGCATTGCCAAAAATATTAAAGGCGAGAAAAGAATCGAAATGTTCGAGACAGAAAAGGTAACTGAACCACCTATGACTATGAAATACGATGACAGAAATTACCGATATGATTTCTTCGGGTGACCATTTCATATACTTCTAAAAATGTGCCAATATAGGGCTAACATCAGCTAAATAAATCCAATATTGGCCCCAGATAAAATATTGGGCATAGATGCGCCCCATATAGGACCAATATTTTGTGCTACTGGGGCCCATAGCCAAGTGAATTTTCCAAATCTTGGATCATCCACTCAATGTTTTGTACAAATCACAAAATACCTCGCTAGATATTGTCCAAAAATACCGGGACTCCCATTTTGGCCCTCCCAGGTGTCAAAGTCACTTATATTTCACTACTCTTTCATAGTTCGGTCTCTCTTAACTAATAAACCTTATTATTTTTTGGAATTTCTATCCTTGATTTAAATTTGGGTTGGATAAAGTCGTTATATTAGAAAAAAACACTACCTGCCCATTAAAATATCAAGTTTTTATAATTAAAATTTATTATTGAGGCTGAAGAAAACCCGCATTCATTTATTTGCCAGTTTTGCCATTAAAATATAAATATCATAAAAAATTTAATGAACTCAACAAAAAAATTATTTTAAAGGTTTTGTTAAAGGATTTACATATATAAAACAAATACAAACTCCGAAAACAAAACCAACAATAAAATTTCGTTCATTCATTTGCAGGTTAAATTTGTAGCTTTAGTATCACAAAAGCTCTTTATAATATTTTATTGCATGCATTCTACCTACTACGTGGTGTATTAGTAAATATGCAACTTAGTACTTTTATTCTGACAGCTTTTTTTCTAGCCATAAAATACAATGAAACAGCGGCCGCATCTGGTTTAAACCGTTTTTATGGTAATTTTTAACTGGTGATGTTTTAGGTACAAATTTAATATTTTGCCTTGCAGAAATTACACTCGAGGAAGTAAGTACATGCAACTAAGCTAGGGTTTTTTTATTAGCTTGGCTACAATGACAATTAACGAGTTGTTTTTTTTATAAAGTTGGTATCTCATTCAATTTAAAACTTGACGACAGCCATACAAACATTGTAAGAATATTTTCCGAAAATGGAACTCAAGTTTAAGCGGGCTAGTATTTTAAAATTATATGAAAAGAAAAAAACTTATCAAGGAGCGAAAATTAATTTGAACCTTAAATTCCAAGACTCTTTTGGTTCTGTAAAGCACGCATCACACAGCAGTTTATTCGGGAGTAATTTCCTGAGTCTCCAAAAGTTACCAAAAAATAAACGTCGACTAAAATAATGTCCAAACTTTATTAGGACCATTAAAAAAATGTGTAAACCCTCAATTTTAGTAAAAGTTATTTAATTACCGAGGACGAAACTTTTGTCTGGATCAAGTAGCTTATTGAGATTGTAAACTTACCATTTAGGACGTGCACTATGAGCGTTTTGGGATTAGCATTGGATGGATTGCATGTGTATTTGCCGGAATCCGAATCTTTAGCTCGCTGAACCAACAAGTAACTGACAGTTATGTCCCCCTTTTCGGTGATCACGCTGACACCACCTCTTGGGGAATCGTAGTTTATTTCCTGAAAATAAAAGATATAATTAAACTCTGGTCAAAAGTAAGGCATGGCATCCTAAATAACTTGTAGTCTGTTAATTACTTTGATACAATCTCCTTTTAACATATAATAATAATAATAATAGTAATAATAATAATAATAATAATATTATTATTTAATAATAATGATAATAATAATAATAATAAAAGTCTTTATTGAAATAAGGAAATACACTATTCCAAATGGCGGAATTTGAATTTAAACATTAAAAATGTAAAAATTCATTCTTACATTCAACCAAAAAAAATGCCAGCTATACCGGCTATACCGGCTACAATATTATTATTAAACTAGAAATACCAAGTTTACAATAATTAAAAATAAACCCAAATAAATATTAAGAGTGTCATTGCTGCTTCATAAATAGAATATCAAAACATTTGGTTTTAAACAAGCGATGTGACCATTTCAACATATTATACCGTAAATTAAGTGGCAAGCCATTAACGTAGCTATACCTATATACCTTTTATATAATAAGTGTATACACTGAGTACTTTCATCTGGATCAAAACTTAAATACAATAATATATATATGTATATAGCATAATAGTGAGAAGAACACGAGGTTAATATTGAATTAAAATTATCAATATATACAGAAAATAATAATGGTCCTAAAATAGAACCTTGAGGGACACGACATTCAATCTCAAGAAAATTTGATAACTTACCATTAAATTGAACCGCCTGAGTTCTATTACACAAAAACATCTTTATTAATTCTAATGGACATTCTAAAAGTCCGACATACTTAAAAATTGATATAATTAACTCATGGTTTATAGTATCAAATGCTTTTGTATAATCGAGCAGGACAAGACATGTTAATTTTTTGTTATCAGACGGCTTCAATATATCATCAGTAATATACTTAATGTCAAAAGATAACAAATAATTCCTTAATTCCTTTTCTAGAACCTTTTCCAGTATTTTTGAAAATGTAGACAACAGGCTAACTGGTCGTAGGTTATTTAGACTTGTGGGACTTAAAGTTTTTGGAAGAGGCACTATTAATGCTTTATGTCTCATGTCTTATGACATGAGTTCTTTATGCTATTTTATTTATTTTGCAAAATTAATTTTATACCCTAAATTTAATTTGGTCGAATTTTACTTTAGATAGTTGGTATCACAGTCATTGGTTTGACAGTTAATCTATATCTATTATAAAGCAATAAGCCAATCCAAGAACGACATTTACAATAGCATCTAGTATGCTGTAGAAAATACCGTGCTTCGATTGGTTAATTTTGAAAACGCCCCCTTGAAGTATACTTTTAATAAAAACTTTTTTACAAAATGATTTAAAATGTAGTTAAATTCACAGTGAAAACAATGAATGTTTAATTAGATAACTTAATGCGCTGACTCATACAGCGCGTTTGATGAAGTTTTAGTTGGCTGAGCAAATTATGCAATGCATGCAACTTTTTAATAAACTGTACAAAGTTGCCCGCCAAAATTTACAACAGTTTGGCAAACAACAAACAGTAATAATCGAGTTTTATAATGAATTGATTAATAAACGTAAAATACTTCAACCAATTCCCAGCCGTGTCTTTCGCAAAATCCGACCACATCCAGTCACAAATTAACGGAGGAGCGAAACTTGCGATATTTCATCCATAAATCACGGCCGAGCAGTATGACCGTGTCTCTTTGGATTTATGAACAGAACGCTGCTAACCAGCTTGGTGCTGAGACTGTAAATTAATTTTTTTCCCTGGGAGGCCGGCAAAAAATTCCCCTTTTATAGATGGTTATTTGGTTTGCCTCCTTTTAACAAGAGTATATTTTCACTGCAGCGTTTTTATTTGTTTTTTAATTTATGGCGGCTGCGCTAATAAATTTTACGCTGAAGTAGGCCAGCTGAGTACGGATTTGAAGTTCTGCTAATTAAGATTTATTTGAGGCTTAAATATAAAGTATTGCTGAAAAAAGTTAAAAAGTTATTTATTTACTTTATTTAAACATATGTAAAACAATTTTTTCAAAAATGAGTAATCATTCCTAAAACCGTTTTTTTTTTCAAAATTATGATAACATTGTTTATTAACGTATTGTTGAAATAAGGTAAATAAATAACTTTTAAACTTTTTTTAGACATACTATATTTAAACCACAAATAAATCCTTGACTGATAAGTACTCAGTAAAAAAAAATTATAATTATAATAAACATTTTGTGGATTTAATAACAAAATTCTTGTAATTTTTAAAAGGACCTTATTTTTACAAACTCTTTGTAAGACCAGTAACAATAGTATTCGCTGAAAATTGGGAACTTAAATTTTGATAAGAAATGTTGCTTTATTAATCAATTTCCTAAACAAAAAAATTAACTCATTGTAAATGAACACAAAAATAACATACATACGATTAAATAACACACCATTCTGAATTTCTTGAATAGGTATTTATTAAATTGTACTCGCAGATTGAGATTTATGTCCCGTATTTAGTTAAGTAATTTTACCATCATATTTAATTATTTGGTATTACGTTTAAAGTGAGCAGCAACAGTAATTGTGCGATAGCGACATTTAATTTATCACCACTGTCCGTGGAGTCCTGATACAACAAGCCCATTTTGAATTACTATACTGTAAATTTTAAGGTCGTAAAGGTCTGGATTTATCTGAATGCACAACGCAGACATTGCCTTTTGTAATTTGGTCAAATTATTACCTAGTGTTTGATGAGGCATAATGAGAAATTGCGGACCCTCAATTGGAATGACCTCGAAGCCGATTATTACAGCTGAGCCCTAGTTTATTAGATCTGGTGTATTATTTGTCTAATGGTATTTATTTATTTATTTATTTATATTATATGTGGGTTGTGGTGGCAGTTAGGAGATTGTGTGGTTTTAAGGGTTGTAGGATGTCCCTTTCTTTCAGAGTTATCTTTCAGAAATATAAGCTAAATGTCGTTTGGGTTTCGGTTATTGTTGTTGCTTGATCCAAATAAATATCATTATTGTTTGTTATAAATTTTAAATGTTTTATACGTTTCTCTCCCATAATCGCTCATTTTGGAAGGTTTTATGAGCGATATTTATATAAAAATAAACGGAAGCCTTCCGGGTGTATTTATAAATTCCCTTTTAATACTTTCCCCTAAATGAATGAGCTTTAATACCGTAAGTATTTATTTTATTTATTTGTCGTAATTTAATATAACATTCGCCCTGGTATTATATTTCATTTTATCACTTGTGTAACTTTTACAGATTCTTTGGGGGTTTGTACGCTAACAGTGTATACTGGTAAGGAATTTTTGACTTTTTTCACTGATGTGATTGGGCATTTCTGAGGTTGAATTTGGAATCTGCTTCATAACTAAAAGTTATGTAGTTAGAGTGATATTAATATCTCGTGGCGGTTGACCTTGAGAGACGCTATAATATTATAACAAATATAATACAATTTCTAGCCCAGAAATTCTTCTAAATATGTCAATAAATATAAGCATTGTTTACCCTATGTAGTATGTTTTTAGGTCGGCGAGTAATAGCGCGATTTGAAAGATTTGAGACTTTTGCGCACTCAAGGTCATCCGCCATGAGATATTAATAGCACTCTACTATTCTCCACACCAAATCCCAAAACGCAGTCTTTTGAAAATTTGGCATTTAAGGCTTTTTATGTTATGTATCTGTCAAACCATAGTTTTTTTTGATAGTTTTGAATAAATGCCATTTAGTTAAAACTATTTTATGGAGAAAACTAGATATATAGACCAAATGCACAAAAATATTACTTATTTGGCACCATACAATTAAGAATTTCATTAAATGCAGTATTTATATTTTGAAATTCTTAAAGCAACCATTGTTAAGTCTAAATTATGGATTGCCTTCCTTCCTTCCTTCCTCCCGTACAAGATGAACAATACGAAACCCAATAAACATTTTTGACGTAATTGTCACCATTAACATTTCCCGTGTAAGAATTTTTAATACTTTGTGATAATATTTTGCAATTATAGTAATAAAAAAAATCAAAGGATAAAATATTTTTTTAAAAAAATCATATTTTGAAGTTATTTTAATATTTTAAAGTATCAATAATTGTTAAGTTTAATAAAATTAATACCTAAGGGGCAATGTTAATGGTGACAATTACGTCAAAAATGTTTATTTAAATCGTAGTGCCATTTATAGATTCCCGTACTTTAAGCACAGCATTCCTTCCTCCCGTAGAAATTTTTAAGTTTTATCTTTCACCGTAAAGGTCTTTGACATGACCAATCACAGTGCTTGTTATGGAAATTGTAGGGTTACAGCGCGTAGGCACAAAATATTTAAAATACATGATTGTTTAGTATTATTTAAGATAGGTGTTCAGTTTATTAAATAATTTGTGTCTCTAAATAGGATATTTAGATATTGTTTATGATCAATGTCTTTCATTTTTAGAAACGTTGCCTTGTAAAACCCCGTAGTTTCCCGGTCTTGGTAAAGTGGGCGAGTCTTCCAATGTCTTGTTCGATGTTTTTTTCATTATTATAATACAACAAGCTGCCTGGGCAATTAAAATTAAGATGACTGCACTAATATATAAATGTTTATCTTTCATATTTACACACATGGGTAAAACGCAGAATATACGGGAGGAAGATAGGAAGGCAATTTATAATTTAGGCTTTAAGCAGTAAAATTATAAATATTATTTCTTTTGTTGACTATACTTGAAAAGCCTTAAATGCCAAATTTTCAATAGACTGCGTTCCGTACGTGGTCACGTGGTGGGACTTTGAGGTGTTAGGCATAGTACTTCAAGAAATCCTTATTAAGTAATTTTTATTTTACTAAAAAAATGTGTAAAAAAAATAATAAGCCTCATACATATTCAGCAACAATACCGTTGCTTGAAGGGTGGCAGGAATGCCAAGCTTCTCATTATATTCGTAATCATTCCATCCAAGAAACTTAAACGACAAACAGTTTAGTCAAGTGTT